CTGTACAGCCTCTATCACAGTTTAAGTCTTTTGCATCAGCAGTAATTACTTATTGCTTAATCATAATCCATCTGTAAAAGATTAAGCGGCGGCCCCTATGGCAGTCACATGGCGGAGCGGGGGTTTGTTTTTTACTTTATGCAAAGCAGTCAGGTCACATGACCGCCTCTGTTTGTTGTGTCAGCTGAATAAGAAAAAAGGAGAGATTCTAATGTGTGTCAGCAAGTCATAACTCCTCTATACAATGGTTTCAGTTTGAAATCTGGCCTGTTAAACGGCAGTGTGTGAATGCAATAAAACTGAGGGAATTAATATACCATGTTAATAAACTAAAAATAATCTCTTTCTGTTGACAGAACATAATAAACATATTTTATGCATAACACTTAGGTTGGTTTGCTTTCATTTTTGACCTCACTGCTACTTAATGATACAAATTTTAGATTAGCAAGTTTGGGCTGCCAAATGTTAAACAGCGATGGAATCAAATGTCATTTTAGGATGTATGAGGACAGGTTATAGCCTCTAGGTTACATGCTTAGTGAAATGTTTTGTGGTTTAGTTCTGTGTTTATAGTAATCTGGGATAAAAAAGCATATAAATTCTCTGCTTGTTTCTATCAGTTTTATTAATGGTTTGTGACTTTGCCAAGAAATAATCTTGCAATAAACATTTCTTAAGTAGTATTTTTGTCTTCTTTTCCAGTAAAACATCTAAATACAAATGCACTCATATTCATGACATATTCTCAGAAAATAAGCCTTATACAGTACAAATGTTTAGCAGGTTAATTTATCTTTTTATTCGGATACAAAACAGAAATATTTATTTTTAATATATAGCGTATTTTTTTAAAACCAAAGGATATGTTTATTTAAATTATGTGTGACCAATTGACTCTGTATAAAGACACTTGTATTTGTGCTTGTGTCTGATGACAGTGAGAATGTCAGACTTTGTAACAGTTGTTTATTCCACTTTGGTGAAAATGGAGGTAATTTGTATGTGCAATAAATCCTCATTCATTCCATCATCTCTTACTGATGCAGTTCCAGCCATAACCACCTTCCTTTGGTTAGGGCCACTTGCAACACAGCTCTCCAAACACCATTTTGGAATAAACCACAGCACAGATTTCCAAAAACTGGTCAAGACACTGAAAAAAAAAAAACCAAAGACAGACTGGATTGGCCATATCTGACACAAAAGTCCAAAATCCACCCAGTCCATGTTAACTTACAGTAAACATAGACTCTCAGGGTTTTGGCACAGAGTGGATTTTCAAAAAGAAAGTTGGAGATTTAAAAAAATATTAAGAAAATAATTAATTAATCAACTTATGTTAACAGATGTTTAAATATTTTTACTGTAAAAAATATTTGTGTGTGTGTGTGTGTGTGAACACAAACTGGCATTCCTGGTATCAAAGACACTGATTACTCACAAGTCAAACTGTCTTGATTCTAACCTTATGGTCTAATGCTGTTAAAGGTTATTTTATTATCAGCTTCGAGTCAGCCAGAGGTTAGGCAGAGAATCTGAGCGAGTGTTGTTGGAGTTTCCTCACTGTACTCCAGGGCCACAGGTCTATGCCACAGGGCACATGTATTGATATCGCACCACAGATAGGAAGGAATGCGTGGCGGCTCGTGATCTTTCGTGGACTGAGGGATGATCTCAGAGTTCACCCAACCAGATCGCTCCTGTCGGTTTGCAGGATGTCAGTAAGTGCAACCAGACGCTGACTGTTGGGTGAGGCAAGTAACGGCTCAGCTGGATTAGTAATATGTTGATGGGGTCGGTAAGATTGAAAAGAAGTCTCTTGTGCTCACCAAGGCTGCAAAATCGATTTGTTTTAGCTTTATAAATATCTTGACTGTCCCTTTTGAACAGTTTAATGAGTCCTTACTGTATTAATGTCTTCTTACAAACAAAAATTGTACTACATCTGGCATGTTTTAGTAAAGTTTTCCTAAGGATGAAACATATTACATACAAAACCCGTTTGAAGTTTGCAGTTTCAGTTGGGACTCGACCGGCTCCAATTCCAGGGAGGGGCAGCTGGGAATTCCACTGTGGCAATGGACTGGTGGAGAGGTGTTATATTCAGCTGTACTCCAGCTGTGTGGATTTATATTCGTGTCCGACAGGCGGTGAAGGGGCATCGGTGCCAGACTCGCCCACTCAAGGGAAGACTTGGCTAGGACCGTCTACATCTCCACCTACATAGCTTTCTCTCATCCACTTTATTTTTTCTCTTAAGTTCCTCGTTCTTTATTTTTTCCTAGAATAATCCTCAATCTTCTTCTGTCACGTTTTCCCACAGTGTGTTTCTCAGTGACCTCAGGGCAGCCATCTGTGATCAGAATCATCCTCCTTGGCCCACAGGGCAAACGGTTCCTCACTTTATGGGCGCTGACATGCCTCACAGGTGTTTGCACACACCTGCACGTCTGTACGCCTGTCCAAGGCAGAGAATCTTGCTGGTTTTGCAGATTCAACGTAGCGACTGTGGTGTTCATTGTTCAGGCCATGTGTTGTTTGTTTGTGGTTCCACACCCAAATGCAAAGCTGTAAAGACAGCTGATGGACCTTCTGCTGCTGGGCTTGAGTGACAGATGTTTCTACACAAAGAAGTTTGTCGTACACTAATTGTTATTACAGCAGTTGTTCATATTGCATTTTTGGAAAGTATGAACATAAAAGGCTAGTCTTGGATTATTGGGTTTATGGCAATAATGGCAATGGTAATAGATTCAGTGTGGTTTAGATTTATTAATTTATTCAAAGACACAATAAAATAATGTAACTTTTCAAACCTTTCTTTGAACATGCTTTTTATGTTCTGAATTAAAATTAGTGCTGTCAAACGTTTAAAGGGTTAGTTCACCCAAAAATGAAAATTAGCATGTGTTTTACTCACCGTCAAAGCATCCTAGGTGTATGTGACTTTCTTCTTTCAGACGAATCCATTCGAAGTTGTATTAAAAATTGTCCTGGCCCCTCCAAGCCTTTCAATGAGGGTAAGCGGGTGTTCGGTTGTCAACCGTTCAGAAGACGTGAAATAAAGTGCATCCGTAATAAAACGTACCTCACACGGCTCCGGGGGGTGAATAAAGGCCTCCTGTAGCGAATCCATGTATGTTTGTAAGATAAATATCCATATTTCAAACGTAATAAACACTTTTTTTCTCACTTCCGCTGACTGTGGTACGTGGAAGACGTTCAGGCGGATGACGTAAGACGTATGTGCAGCACGCGCCTCTGAGAAATGCAGGAGCAAAGGAAACAAAGTTTCCTTACTTTAGCAAAGGAAAACCAGTCTCCTTTTGGCTTATATCGAAATCCTCCGACATTTTTCTTTACAAATCCTCGTTTTGTGCTTCTAATTCGTGACCGGCGTTTTGTTTTGTCTCCGCACTCGTCACTAATCACGCTACGTCGACGTCTTACGTCACCTGCCGGAACGGCTTCCGCGTACCACAGTCAGCGGAAGTGAGAAAAAAGTGTTTATTACGTTTGAAATATGGATATTTATCTTATAAAAGTGCATGGATTCGCTACAGGATGACTTTATTCACCCCCCGGAGCCGTGTGAGGGACGTTTTATTACAGATACGCGCACACGTTATTTCACGTCTTCTGAACGGTTGACAACTAACACCCGCTTACCCCCAATTGAAAGGCTTGGAGGGGCCAGGACAATTTTTAATATAACTCCGACTGGATTCGTCTGAAAGAAGAAAGTCACATACACCTATGATGCGTCGAGTGTGAGTAAAACACAGGATAATTTTCATTTTTGGGTGAACTAACCCTTTAATCGCGATTAATCGAATCCAAAATAAAAGTTTTTGTTTACGTAATATATGTGTGTGTACTATGTATTTATTATGTATATATAAATACACACACATGCACGTATATATTTAAGAGAAATGTGTTATGTTTATATACTAAATATATTTATATATAATATAAATTAAATGAATATAAATATATCCATGTAAACACAGGTAAATATTTTCAAAATATATACTGTATATGTGTGTATTTATATATACATAATAAATATACACAGTACACACGCATATATTATGTAAACAAAAACTTTTATTTTGGATGCAATTAATCGTTTGACAGCACTAATTAAAATTAATTTTATTTTTTGGGGCACAAATTCAAAAAAGTCAGGGTGATGCAACTGTCCTTATATCATAATGGGAAAAAAAACTAATTGAAAAATGAAATTCTTAAAAAGAATAATAACAATTTTATTTTAAAAGTGTGTGTGTTTGTAACTTTTCCTTTAAACATATATTTCAATATAGTATTATAAATCTTATTTTTTTATATTTAAGACCTTTAAGTATATTATAAATTTTTTTGTATTATTTATTTATTTATTTATTTATTATGTTTTACGAAACAATACAAAAATTGCATATCTTAAATATTGGCAGGTGTTTTTTTTTTTATAAAGATCATTTCTTTTCTTTATTGTAAACACATATATTGTGACTTATTTGTCATTGACTCAGTGAAGTGACTTAACTTGCAGTCTCCTGTTCTCTTATTTGTCATGTTTGGATTTTATAAAAGGCTTTTTATTTTTGTTTGTGGTCGCTGGAACCCAGGATTTCTTTCTATTGTCCTAAATATAGATGTGGCCTAACACATGTGGATGCAAGCTGTGTTAATTTGCACAGCCTCTGTAATCCTATGTAGGGAGTGATGCATTGTGGTCCGTAGTCGCTCCTGTGATGTGGTTAGTTGGAATGAGCCAATCTGATAATTACATGCGCGTTATGTGACTACTTGTGGTGTTGACTAGGCCTAGGGGAGTCTTTCTGGGTTGACTTCTTGATTTAGAGTTTTAGATGAAGCAGAACTGTTAGATCATCGGGTTGTTGCCTGGGCTTTATCAAGGCTGATGAAAGTCTTTGTCCTGAGAAAAGACCTCAAGTCTTGACGAAAGTTCTTTTTTTGTTTTCTTACAGGGCTGAGTGACCCAAGCGTAGCTCTCACCTGGGGGAGGACCAGCACTCCCTCATTCCCATCCTCCCTTGAGCCCCCACTCTGAAGCAGCCATGGCGCCACGGAAACGTGGGGGCGGAGGGCACGGCGTGTCCTTTTTTTTCTGCTGCTTCCAGAGCAGTGACCACCCAGAGATCACCTACCGTCTGCGGGAGGACTTCGCCCTGCAGGCCATGGAGCCGGCTCTGCCCATTCCCAGCTATGACGAGCTGGACGCCATGTTCTCAGAGCTGGTGGTAGGTGCCATCTTCTAACATTTCTGTATAGTTTTATCTCTGCTGACTTCTGTCAGTTAAGACCAATGAATCTGACTTTGTTTCAGAGACCGATCTATATCGACCAGGACGATTACTCTTTCAGTATTTATCAATTATATTACATTACATTACATTAACATCCAAAAGTTTAAGGTTGGTAAAAATTCTTATGTTCACCAAGGCTACATTTATTTGTACAGTTTAATATACAGTTAAACCGTAATATTAGGACATATTATTACAATTTAAGGTAACTGTTTTCTATTTGAATATATTTTAAAATAGGATTAATTCCTGTGATGGCAAAGCAAAATTTTCCGAGTTACTCCAGTTTTTAGTGTCACATGATCCTTCAGAAATCATTCTAATTTCTAATTGAGCGTGCTGCTCAAGAAACATTTCTCTTTTTTCCCCAGATTCTTTGATATAGAAATTTTTGGTAACATTATATATGTTTTTACTGTCACTTTTAGACAAATTTTATGCATCCTTGCTGAATAAAAGTATTAATTTGTAAAAAAATTCTTACTGAGCCCAAACTTTTGAACAGTAGTGTGCATTATTTTATTTAAATATTTATTTAGTTATATATAAATATATAACATTTATATTAATACTACTACTAATAATAAAGTAAGCATTTTTACCATCACACAAGTATTTTTATGTGTTGCATGTGGAGCTAATTTACGAAGAACCAAAGCATTATTTTCACATACTCAGTTCCTCCGTGTTTGCGCTCTAATTTAGCATAATTAAAGAGCTGTAATTGATCCATCAAACATGTTGTCTTTAATCCTTGCTTGAATAGAAATCGCGGCAGTGTGGCGTGCTGCAGACTTTGCCTCTCTCTCTCTCTCGTCGTCTCCTCCATCTCTGCCAGCTTCCACTTTGCACATCAATGGGTTCCATTGAGTGGCCTTGTGTCTTGGACTGCACTGCAGAGTAATTGCTTGTTTTTGGTCTGACCCACACTTAACCTCCCTTTCCCTGTACTTGGGTTCGAATTGATGTACAACACAAAGCAGCAGCAGTTGTTCTCTTTTCACAGCCCTCATAGAAAGATTTCATGCTCTCAGCACGCGCCGTTCTGGCAAGTTATTGTTGAGTTTGTAAACCGGTGTTGCGTAACTGACAACCTGCTTGCTTATTCACATGTTGTTTTTCATGAAAAGTAATATTATGTTTAGTAGAAGATACCTGGGTAATTATTTGAAATACTGTAGCTGACATTTATTTAGTTTATTTATGTTATTATGCCAATTTCCCATCATGTCAGGGCTTGGCAAAGTCTTCTTAAAAATTCATCATATTCAGCACACTGAGTACATTAGAATTGCAAAAATATTCTTGGAACAAAGGGGCTTTTCAGGATAAAATGAAAATAATGAGGTACATGAAGGGAGTTTCCATGTGATTTAGCCATGATATGTCTTTTTTTATAGAATTAGATTAGGTATTTTGTGTTATGATTGGCCCCAGATATTACATTTGAGACTCAACCAAAATTATTGCGTTATAATCCTTTTATGGCATAGAATCAAAGTGATAGTTCACCCAAAAATTAAAATTCTGTCATTGTTTAAATTACGTGAATTATAAAAAAATATATATTTTAAAGAATGTAAGCTACTGGTTGCTCTTATCCATACTATTACAATAAATCTGGGCATAGAAGGACCATAAAAATATTGCAAAAGTGGTCCACATGATTGATGTGTCTTCAACGAGTTGAATTCCATAAGATTATCAGTCCAAATGATTCATTCGCATATTGGACATTGCTATTTCTCTCATGACCACACCAAAGAGAGCTAGAGTGGATGTCATTATTTTCATTGAATAATGACTAAAGTTTCTGAACATTTCTCACACAAAGTTATCATATAACTTCAGAAGACTTGCAAATGACAAATAGAAATGTTGCACATGAGATTTGTGGTGTTTTGTATCCTTTTTGAAGCTCTTTAAAAATTGGAATATCATATGAAACATTTTCAGATAAAGCACTGTTTCCATCTTATGTGTTAAGTAAAACAAAATAGTTGCTTCCTGGGAAACTGACGCAAACTATAAGTAATAAATATGGAAGCCAATGTAGCTTTTCCCGCCTCAGAGTGCACAGACAAAACAATAACAAAAGCTGTCATATTGTGTTTGGAGGCATATGCCAAATGTGTGGGAAAGTAATTGTGAGAGACAATTCTGGGAGGTAATTATACAAAATCATTTTGATGACAAACTTGAATGACTAAAATAAGATTTGAAATGGTGTGCATTGAGAGATTGGTCAGCTGGTTAGTCCAGTTATCCAGTCATAGATCTGTTGAGGCAAAGTCTCATGAGAATTGTATTTTAGTTTTTTTGCGCATCCTGGAATTAAATCTGTAAGTGTTTACCTCATATTTATGTGCATATCTTCTTATCGGATTAAAAAAAAAGTCCATCTCAGTTAAGCACAGAAATTGTTTATGCACATTTTAAGATTTTATGCACATCCTGGCTTTTCCATTCAGCTGTTTTAAGTGATATCCCAAAATGCGCATTAAAATATGTGAATGGAAACGGCTATTGTAATTGCATGGAAAAGAGTGACAAATTTCTCCTTTTGTGTTCTGCGGGACCAAGAGGTTTGGACAGACATGAGGGTGAATAAATAATGACAGAACTTTGATTTTCAGTTGAGCTATCTTATTAACATCTGTATAAAGCATGTAGGCATAGTTAATGCTTTATACGGCTTCAATAAACCATTATAGTGTAATTAATAACTTCTTTTAAACTCTTAAACTATTTTCGTTGATGTAATTCGAGAGTTATCCAACTGTATTCTCCAATAGAGTGCAAGTTTATTTTAATCAAGACTTGATTTGACAGCCCAATCACTTACTGGACAGTCTACAATAGAGAGTTTATGTTCTAGAGTGGACGTTTTCCTCATTATGAGTGCTGAAAGGTTTGCTGTAGTGATGTAGAGCATTGATAGATTGATGCACACGGCCCAGGCTTTAATGTTTGTTCTGCAGCTGAATGCTGGGGCTTGATGTGGCGTGTTGGGTTCAGATAAGGCAAGATGTGGTTTTCTGCATGAATGGAACATCCTGGTTGTAGTCTGGCTGCTCTTGACTGTAACAAAACACTGTACGCGTATGGTCTTTATGCGTATATGCCGGGGATGTCTAGACTTTCTGCTGACTGTGCAGCTCGTTTCCGCTAAAGGCCGGGGGATTCGCAGGAAGATGAGAGATGGAAGAGACACCAGACCGGATGAGAGGAACAGCAGCTCTTCCTCTCTCTTGCATCCCTGTGGAGAATCAGGGACATCACTGTCACCAAGAACTGCCAGACAGGAAGCCATTACCAGATTTGTCAGACAGATGTAGCGCTATACATGCAGGGATTTACAGTGAGAGATGTACGCTGAGAGGCCTCTTTATTAGGTTGTGCTGCTGAAATGGGCAGGTCGATCTTTGAATGTGATCCAATTCAGTTCGTAGAGTTCACATTCAATCAACTTTGACTGCTGAAACTGTCCTTTTCCACTATCAGGTTCTGCAGGTGTTTCATAGGCTTGATATGATCGCATGTGCTTGAATGAAACCGACACACTGAGATCTGCATTAGTGGACTGCTAGCTTTATTGAACAATTTATATTATGTTCAAAAGTTTGGGGCCATTATGATTTTCTTTTTTTGAAAGAAATTAATACTGTGCAATAAGGATCCAATAAATGATGAAATATGACAGTAAAAACTTTTATAATGTTGCAAAAAAACTTCTGTTTCGAATAAATTATATTTGAACTTTATATCCATCAATGTATTAAGGTTTCCACAGAAATATTAAGCAGCACATTTTCAACATTGATTAATAAGAAATGCTTAAAGGGGTCATATTATGCGATTTCAAGTTTTCCTTTCTCTTAAAATTCAGCTTTGCCAACACAGAAATAAATTATATTTTAAAATATATTCAAATAAAAAACAGAAAAATTGAACGTTATTTTAAATTTGAATAACATTCTATAATATTACCATTTTTACTGTATTTTTATCAAATAATTGCAGCCTTAGTGAGCATCAGTTTCTTTCCAAAAATGCAAACCTTTGAATCATTTTTCTTTTTTTTTTTTTTTTTTTGCATAAGACAATTATTTTGCATAATTTTAGATATTTTAACAAATAATTTTTTTTAAAAAATCTCAGGACTTTATATAAATCAACAGAGTGGAGTACACTATGGATACAGGAGGCTATGAGAAAAATCTTGCTGTGTCTCTGGAGGACAACAGAATGCTTTGTAAGAGGACATTAAAGAGAAAATTTCTGATTGTTCACAGATCTAATTGCATCGAAGTGAACGAGATTTCTGATATACATTGTAATATCAATACTTTTGTTTGTGTGTGTGTGTATACAAGTGGGAATTCACAGTGTTTTCATCATCAGTTCGCATGGGACTCCCATGTCGAGAGCAGCTAACAAACAAACTAGGGCTTTCTTTGTGGAAACCCACACCCACTGTGAGGACGAACCACAACACAGTGATTGTTGTGGTGAACTGCTATTTCAAGGACAAAACAAAAGGAAATTACAAGTGGCTGAAGATTATGAGTAGGACTTTCATTGCCAAAGCCATTGATTGTGCTGTCGTCAGTCGTTCAATGTTTACAGATGGTTTTGGGCAGAATTCACAATGTGCTGTAATAAATTTTAGGCACTCCACAGAATGCTGAATTAGTCAGAAAAAGGAAATTTACGGATTGTAACATAATCACAGATTTTTATTATAAATATTTAACTCGTACTAAAAAAATGTATGCATAAAAAACTACACTTACAATAGCTGTATTCTTTTTTTCATTTAATTCCATCATATTTTTTACCTAAATTCACATCTGAATTGCAGTCTTAATTCTTTTTGCCTCTTCAATTCATATTCATTTTAAATTCAGGATTGACGCACAACCCTAGCTTTTGATTACTAAACAAGCATTGGCATTTTCATTTGATAGGAAAAGCTGTCATTAACTGAGATATATCCAATGTAATCCATATGATTAATTTCCTTTGCATTTTCCAATCTCAAGTCAAGTGAAGTTCAAGTAAACCTTGGTTTATTATCATTCCAGCCATATATAAGTCTACAGTGGAAAGAAATGTCATTTCACCAGGTCTGCAGTGCACATCACCACTTTGTCTGTCTGCTGTCATGGACGTTTTGTTCTCTCTCTCTCTGTCTATTTCCTCTGTGTCCTCTCTGCTGGAGGATTTGAGGAAGTATTTGTGGGTAAGGAGAAAGTTGAAAAAACATTCTGTGGTTTCCACATGCTGTTATCATTGGTTTGTGGGTGGATATTGACCCTGCCTCGAGGGGTTTACAGTTTGTTTTTGCCATGTCCAGGTTAAAAAATATCTAATCTTTCTTTTCTCTTTCTGGCTTTCTTTTTCTTTCATTTCAGGATGAGCTGGACCTCACAGAGAAGCACAGAGAGGCCATGTTTGCCTTGCCAGCAGAAAAGAAATGGCAGATATACTGCAGCAAGAAGAAGGTTAGAACTCTCCAACATTAGGTCATTGTGTGTGTGTGTGTGTGTGTGGGTGGGTAGGTGGGTGAGTGTTTTGCCCTCTTATCCTCGGTTGAAAGTTTAGTGCACAAGATTACACTGTCATCCTGTCAGAACGGTGTTTAAACATCTCATATATCAAAGTGCTTAACATAATCACCTCTCTGTCTGAAAGAATCTGATTCTGGGTTAATGCCCCTTATCTCCACATTCTCTGCTTTAAAATGGCTAATCTATTAAATGTTTCCATTGATCTTTTCATTAGCAAATTAAGTGTCAGCAAGGATTTTAGATAACTTGACATTTTAGACTTCTTAGCAGATGCTTTTAAACCAAAGCGACCTAAAACAATGCATGCTGCTCTTTAGGATAGCCAGTTTGTTGCTGCAGAGAGAGTTTGGTAGTGTCTCAGTCAGCCTGTTTCCTTAGGCGTTACATTCATCAGAATCTGAGAACTAAACAAATGACGATTCACAATTCTTTCTATAAAGAGAAGCTACTTTCTGCTTGAGAAATGCTCTACTTTACTTGTATCTATACAAACTAAGCTTAACAAAAGCATGTTTTGTTTTGTTTTTTGATTAGTTTAGTTTAGTTTAGTTTAGTTTTGTTGGCCAGTAGAGCTACCACAATATAATTTTTTTTTATTTAAGATCAAACTTTTTTGGGGGGTTTATTTTCGTTTCTTTCTATCTCATGTTATTTCCAAAGCCTTCTTTAAGCTATTTTTTTTATTATATGCTAAATATTCTTAACAAAACAAAGTTATAACAAATCAGTTGTTTTTCTCATTTGCAGTAATAGCTGGACTTTTCATTCTGCAGTATCAAAACATAACTATGATCAACAAATACAAGATGTAGTGACAAATATTAGATCATTGGGGGCTCAGAAAACTTCCAGATGGGTCTCAAAATGACTTCTAAATAAGACAAAACATGTAAAGCAACTATAAAACAAGACATTTCTTATTTTAATTCCCACTCTATTGAAAAACCTGGATATATGAGGTAATTTCATTTTAAAAGTGTGATTTCTAGACCTGGAAAAGTCATGTAAATTAATAAAATCTTATTTCGTAATTCGAAATAATTATTTATTTTGTGAAATCGTAATTCATAAACAACTAGAAACATCACGAGGCCTTCGAATATTGTTGCGGTCTATGGAGTCAAAAGGGTTGAGAATCACTGCATTACTAGCCCTGGGTTATCGAGCCACAGTCGAGTTGTGCTAGATGAACAGTTCTTTAACCTAAAGATTTTTTTTTAAATTATTTTAATATGTTCCTTGAGGTTTACTTCTAATCTTAAAAAGTTTTTTTGCACAAATTTGTGGAAAAATTATTATTTTCAACCCTCATTCTTACCCTCTCTCTAAAACGACCTGTTTTTAAGGGGTGTGTCCTTTAAGGCTTGCCAGTAATCGGCCACTGTTATGATTGGCTAACGTGATTGCATAGGAAACAGTATCAGCGCCCCCTCACTATTGCATGTGAGTGTTTTGAAAACATGATCCAAATAAAATGGTCATTTCCAGACAAAGCATTATGAAATCATTTACTTAGTGTGATGCAGCTGCAGTCAGATCTAGTACCGCTCCATTTTTCAACAAATGTTTCTTTGTGAACTCTCCCTGACACTGTGCCTCGTTTACAAAACAATATGCACGATCAATGTAGGGTTGTGACGGTGAGGAAATTTTCCCACCGGTTAATTGACGTGTGACAACACCGGTAATACCGGTATCCCCGCGGGGGCGGGGCGTTCCCTCTTTTCCTCGCTTTCCTTTGCTTTTAAATAGCTTGTAAAAGCGGTGTGCCCATTTTACTTTAACTTTCAAATAGCGGCAATTCGTCGTAAAGCAATTGTTCGTTTTTAGTTCGTTTGAATTTTCCCTCTTTTCCTCGCCTTCCTTCGCTTTTAAATAGCTTAAAAGCGCCGTGCGCATTTTACTTTCATTTTTGAATTAGCGGCAGTTCGGCGTCAATTGCTTGAATGCAACAACAAAATACAACGTCAAACTCACTTTAGCGTATATATAAAACATAGAACTTTCATTAACTAAACAAATAAAAATACACCATGCTATAGGGCAAGCTATGCCTAATATAAAATAACAAATAACCAGTGGTGGAAAGAGTACTGAAAAAATATACTCAAGTAAAAGTACCATTACCTTCCAAAAAATGTAGTGTGAGTAGAGTAAAAGTACTTGTCCAAAAAACTACTTGAGTAAGAGTAAAAGAGTAGCCTATTTAAAAGTACTCATGAGTATTGAGTAGTGAGTACTGAGCTGTGGATTCTACCCCCTCATAATAAATGCTGTACACCGCAATTGATACATTTTTAAAAACGTTGTACATTCTGTAATTCTTATTATCTTATTTGTCATAAAGAATTAAGAGTATCTATCATCCAGCAGTTTTAATTTTGACTGTCAACTCTTTAAAATACATCAAAACAGCACGGAAACAGTATTCAGTTGAAGAAAAGATGAAAGTTATTCTCAGTACAATCATCCCCATTTAAATCATAAAGTTTGAAAAAATAGATTTAAAATCATGTGTAAGGCCACTGAGACAGCATATGCTATTGTTGCACATCAAATATTAATGTTTAGAACAGTGCAAATACAAACACCATTAGAAACTCATAGTTCAGCATCACACAGCATGATATGGGTTAAAATGACAGCCCATTTCTCTCCAAAACGGTGCCAGTTTTAGCGTTTTGCAATAAAGAAATAAAAATAACTAAACTTGATAATTTGTTACAATTTTAACATAAATGCACATTGTTCTAGAAGGATGGCAAATTCATGCCATACCTTTTACACATTTACTCGAATTGTTATGCTGATAATACAATTTGTAAGGAAAAATGCTTTAAATAGCGAGGTATTTCTGGGGAAAATTTTTCAAAGGAAAACACAAACACACACACATGCATGTCTCTTTGTTGAGCCGCAGCGGTCTCGGTGAATCAGCAGCATCCACAACTGTACAGAACAAAAAGTGTTGAACTTGAAAATTGTTTATGCGCGAGTGCACTTGCTAAATGAAGGCGGATTGTATAAAATGGATTAAAAAAAAAAAGTTTATTAACGAGCTGCAGTTTTATTACATCACGCGCTGGCACAGATGCAGTATATTAACGCCACGGGTCATCAATAAGGTGCAGATTTGGTCCTCAATTTGTGTTTCCAAAACACTTTTTCACAGCCCGCATCACGCGCTCAAACTCATCAAAAGTCAACAAGTTCAACAAGCAACAACGACTTATCCAAGTGACTGTTGCAGAACGCACGCGAGAGAGAGACGAGGCAGCGCAGATCGGATTTTGACAACACAGACTGGCATTCAGTCACTTAACGGCTGACTCTTGATTATGCTAAATCGAGTGTCGCATCGCATCAAAAGCATATAGAAATTACGATCACTGCCGCTATCTTGTCTACACTTTCTGGCACAGTCCACGCAGCTGAGTCTGTCGTCAATTGAACAAATGGAGTGAAAAAACGTTCACTTTCACCCGTTTGGTTTAAACAGCTCATTCTCGTCTTTTGTACAGATATCAGAAGAATCCCAGCGTAAAGGAACAAATGGATAGTTTATTTTTAATGACATCCCGGATCGTGTCAGATGATTGATCTAGGCTTGCCGCGATAGACGGTGCTGACGGTGATACCGGTGTTAAGCTGCAACACCGGTTACGTCACTTGCCCACCGCGGCACTGACCCCCACCGTCGTTTTGATTTTTTATAGTAATAAAAATCATTTAGTTCAGTAAAAGAACAGACGCTACAATTAAAAACTGAAGGTGGCTGCTCAATGTAGCGTGCCGAACGACAGTCGCATCACAGATCAGATTTAATTTCTCCAGTGAGGAGAGTGAGTCGAGCTGACTGACAAGAAGAGTGAGGTGAGACAGACAAGACGATCGCGGATGATTTAGTTTCGAAACTAGATGCAAATCTTATGTTTTATAAGTGAGTGGGAATTTACCAAACGTGGCACTTGCGGGAGTTAACACTGTATGCAATACCCGCAACCTCACACCAAATTTCAGGCCGTGTAGATAGGCAAGCATATATACAAATCATTAAGTAAGCAGAAATCCGAAATTTACCTTAACATCAAGTTAGAGGAAGATGCGACAGAATTGATGCTTGAAGAATGCACTTCCAGCAGCCATGATAAACAGTTGGCGGTTAAAGTTTTCTATGCACAATTTGATTTGACGAAAGTCACGAGACCTATTACTATCTATCCAATCACGTTGATGGATAAAAATAAAATTAAAATAAGCATGTAATGACCACAAACGGAGGAAAATAGCGGAGTAAAAGTACCGATACATCACTTAAAATGTACTCAAGTAAAAGTACACGTTTTTTTAAACTACTCAAAAAAAGTACAATTACTGATAAAAACGACTTAATTACTGTAACATGAGTATTTGTAATTGGTTACTTCACACCCCTGCAAATAACTTACATAAAGTTTATTAGGTATACAAAACTGGAAATAAGTAAACCTGTATAATATATAACCAAATAAATAAGAAACGTAGAACGTTTATTAGCAAAACGTATGTCAAATAAAATAAATAAATGACAGTTTAAATAAAGTAAAAATCAGCAAACAATGTGGAACCAATTAAATAAGAAACTAATGTTTAAAAAAACTTCCAAAATCACCTTAGATAAATGGCAAAAGTCAACAGATAAATGGCAAAATCCAAAATATTGCCAAACAGGCACTTTTTCCATTTCGTTTTGAAACTAAATCATCCGTGATCGTCTTGTCTGTCTCACCTCACTCTTCTTGTCAGTCAGCTCGACTCACTCTCCTCACTGGAGAAATTAAATCTGATCTGTGATGCGACTGTCGTTCGGCACGCTACATTCCAGCCGCGTTCAGTTTTTAATTGTAGCGTCTGTTCTTTTACTGAACTAAATGATTTTTATTACTATAAAAAAA